GTAAATGAGCTCCTCATAATCTCGTTAATATCTTTCGTCACTGAAACAACACCCTGATTTCGTCACTGAAACAACACCCTGATATCTTTCGTTAATATCTTTCGTCACTGAAACAACACCCTGATTTCGTCACTGAAACAACACCCTGATTTCGTCACTGAAACAACACCCTGATTTAGATGAATCTAGTTCTTCTAGTTTTGATTTTGGTGGATTTTTCATGAGGTAATCAATCAGTTCATAGTTCATGCGGTTCCGATGAGTTGGGTCAAAAGAATAGTAGAACTACCTTTTTACCCTGTGTACTGCTAGATTTTCTTTTTCCTCATTCAGCTATAATTATTGACACTGACAGATTTTGAGTAAAGGAAATTGATGCAAAGACCTCTCCACTAAAATAAATTAAAAACTGAATGATGCGTCACACGACATTCTAAAGCAAATACTAATGGGTGCAAATACTAATGGGTGCAACTAATGAGTGCAAATAGACGATGGAAACACTCAACGTGTCATGCACCATTGCCTGTTTTATTAAAGTAATAATCTTTAAAAATAAATTATTATTTTTTTTTTATTTCTTGCAATTCTAGACAAATTTTAGATTAGTTTGCACAGAATTCTATTTTAATTTGATTTTAAAAAAAATTATCCTTTAAAATGGGCTTTCTCTCGTCGTGGCCTCTTGGCAAACGCTTATGATGACCGTGAGTAAAGGCATTACCCGGCTACATTAATATAGTAATAATAACAGCTCCAACTAAAGAGCTGTGTATAAACAGCTTTTTAGCAACTTTCTATAAGTTTATAGTTATGTTATAGCAAGCTACAAAATTACGGTTACTATGGCTACTTACATAATGCTTTGAAATTTCCAGCGATATTTATATATAGCTACCGGTTTGTTAAAAAAAAATTTATTTAAATATTGCGTGCTTTGATATTATTACTACTTTCAACTAAACCCCCGTCACATTTCAATCTTCTACCCCCCATCGCACACTTTTTCTTATTTATTTATATATATATTTGTCTTTTCTTGTTTTCTTATATATTGTTTTCTTATAAATATTCTTTTTTCTTGTTTATTTATAAATAACTCTCGGTTTAGATTCTCCTAAACGTTGTTTCTGATGATCGCATATCAACATTACAGCTAGCTAAAGGCATTGATAAAGTACAAAAGATGCTGTCGGATATGAAGAGATCGAGTATCCCTTGTGCAGCATAATTTTCATATAAATTGAGGATTTGATTTGAAAATAATATAAATATATTTATTTTTATGTATATTTATTTTTGAAAATATATTAAATGTAGTTACTTGCATACAAAAAAGATATAAAATATCTTTTTGGATAATAAAGTGTCTTTATAATTAGTAAAACACGGTAAGCTAATGTGCTATTTTTTATAAAGATTTTTAGCTTTTTTTCTTGTAAAACCAAATTTTTACTTTGTTTTTACTATATAATATATTAAAATGGGGGAGGGGGTGGTCAATTTTTTTTTTCAAGTTTTTACTTCCAAAAGTAAAAATTTGTTTATATTAAAGATATTTTTTAAAAATTCCGTGATGCTGTTAATAGGTAAAGATTTTAGTTAACCACAACCTTTATTAAGGTAAGAAGGCTCCTGTCATACATTTTTCGTAATTTTTTGCACTTTTGAGGTTCAAAGGCTTATTGTAATACTTTATCTTAATAAATTTTTCTCAAAAACAAATTAAAGATGCAAATCGCTCTTTAAATTTTAAAAAATGGTAAACTATGGTCTTTTAGTTGTGCCAATAATCGTTTCTGAAGTACAATAATATATACTTAAGTACTATAACATATTTCTGTTTTGACCCTTAGCAATTTGTTTTCACTAAGAGGCCATTCAAAGTATGTTTTCTCCATAAATAAAACCTTATTGTGAATCTATAAGCAGCTTGATCAATGAGCTTTTTTATTTATTTTATTATTTATTTTTTATAATTTTTTTAATTAATAAATGCGGTAGTGGTGTAGTGGTAGAGCGCTTAATTCATAAGCAAGAGGTTCTGAGTTCAATTCCCACCACGTTCCCTAGTAGAACCGCGCTCAACTTGTTTTTCCGCGCAGCAACTTTGTTCGAGAAAAGGTTAAAATCATAATTGAGTAGCCTCCTCGTATGTAGTTGCCTTCTCGACCTTGGGTAGTTGAACTAGCATAGATAATTTTGGATCAATCTTCTTTAAAAAAAACTTCATTGATCTTACATTCTCAATGGCATTGTTGTATAAAAAAAATATCCTTAGCTTAGTGACCATAACTGAGCTGTCCCTTTAAATTCTTCAAATTCTCTCCTCCCCACCCCAACTGAGCATAACTGAGCAGTAGGTTCAAATTCTCTCCTTCCTTCCCCAACTTTTTTTTGATCAAATGTGCAAGCATTTTTAATTTCTTATTTACCAACTTAAATCAGACGCTGCGTTCAATTTTCACTTGACATTTACTTGAATAACAATAATAAATAAACACGTATTTTGGTAGAATAAATATTTCGGTTACTATTTTTATTCGGTCATTTTAATTCAAATTTTATTTAAACAAAATTCTTAAGAAATATTACAATGTTAAAGTAAATCAATATTGAGTCGGACTACATGAGAACATGTAAAAAAAATATTGAGTCGGACTACATGAGAACATGTAAAAAAAATATTTTTGTGAGAGTAAAAGGATTTTTTGATGCATCAATTTGAAAATTTACTAATTCAAAACTTCCTAAATTTTTAATGATAAACTAGTTTTAAAATTTACGGTTTAGTGGAGTTTTTTATTCTGAATCTAATGATAATACTTTTATTTTATTATTTTGTTAAATAAGGAAGTTATTTGATAAAAACTAGAAAAGGTATTATTTTTTCTTAAGTTGGTCAATAATTAAAACCATCACTATCAACAAAATCCCAAACAACAATTACAGCAAAGAAGATGTTGAAAATGCTTTAAAACATCATTTTTCAGCCAGTTTAAATAATCGATAACAAGATATATCATTTAAAAATTTGTACATTCAAGTTCAATGTACCAAAACCGATATTGATTGACAGAAATAAAAGTAAAAACGCAGGTCAACGTGGAAATTCAAAAACTGCAAACCTTCATTACAGCGGTGTTATGATTGCTATAATAAACTATCAATACCGTATACTATAATGAAGGTTTGTCATAGCATTATAATGCTATGATTTTAAAGAAAGATGGAAACATGATGTAGCGTTAAGCAGAGCAAACAACATAGCATAAAACAGAGTATCATCTTGCACTTCCAATATAATTTAAAAATATTTTAAGAATTACAAGAAACAATACGATAAACTCAAAATTGATAACTCACATATTTGGTTTTAGTTGTGACCAAGGAGAAAATTTCCATTTTATAATGTAAACATATTCATTTACATTTAGAAATATTTAAAAAATATGTAAAAAACTTAGGGCTTGCTTCCCCCATTCGGGCAATTGGCCAATAACAATGCGGTTGAGCGGCCGTGGCGCAGTGGTTAGAGCGCTTGCTTTATAAGCAGGGATCCAGGTTCGAAATGAACCTTGGACATATTTTCGTGTCACGGTAAGGAAGGAGGCGTGAACTTCCTGGTTAAATGCATTTCCGCGGTATTCTGTGACAAGACCGTTAGGTCTTCTTGGGGCACCTAAACAACAATAAGAAATAAAAGATAAAAACAATTAAAGCTCTGTAAAAACAATAAAGGTTCATTTTAGTTTTAAAAAAAGAGCTTTTTCAAACTGTCAGAATGAACAATTCATTTATTTTTATAATTATTAGGAATATATGTAAAAATATATGGGGCTTTATAGGACATAGCATAGCCTAACTACATAGGACATATTAAAGCTCTGTTAAAACCGTAAACATTAACTTTCGTTAAAGAAAAAGAGATTTTTCAAGTTGTAAGAATGAGCAAATTCATTTACGTTTATAAATATCAAGAAAATATGTTAAAAATTTTAGGGCTTCTTTCCCCAAATCAGGGCGATTGGGTCGGAACAATTAAAGCTTTGTAAAAATAATAAAAATTTAGTTAAAGAACAGTTTAGTTAGTTTAGTTAAAAAACTTTAGTTAAAGAACAAAATAATTTTTATATTGCCAGAGTATACAAGTTCATACACATTTATAAAAATCCAAAGTATATGTAAGAATCTCAGTGCTCGGTTTCGCAATTTGGGGCAATTGGGTCAAAGGTAATGAAATTTTTGTAAAAACCAAAAATAGAGAAGAGCAAGAACGAGAGCTTTTTTATATTGTAAGAGTAAAAAAATTTATGCATTTATAAAAATCCAAATTTTCCGGAAAGAAATGACTTTGTAAACTGTATAAATGCAATTTTACTTTGTCTAACCGCTGTTCAACCAACGTCTGTTCAACCACTGTCTGTCAAACCACTCTGTCTAATCACTGTCTGTCTAACTTCTGTCTAAAACACTCCATGTATTTTCTTCTGGGACATTTTCAATTTGAAAACTCAAGAGAGATCTAGTAGTTTTTCCTCTAAATATGAAAGTGGTGGGAGAGAGTTACCCATTGACACTATTACTGAGATTGCTTCCCGGTTACCTGATTGACGACAATGTAGATACTTAACTCCTTTTTTAGCAACTATTTTTCAAGGGTGGTAATTAAACTGCATCCTATTCTCATCCTTATTTCAAATATTTTGCGGTTTCTGAAGTAGGCTGTTTTCGACTAACACATTTTTAAGAATGGAAAAATATTTCAACACTTTACAAAAATTCATACACTGATGTCTAACCTTCTGATTGATATAAATTTAAATCTTTGTGCCTTTTGCAGATTGCACGCTACTAATTTTTTGTAGGAGTTCCTCTGGAATGGCAGCAAGGTTTATCATCCAAGGTTTACAAAGACTTTTTACTTTATCCACATTGTTATCTCATATATGCTACTAATAAGCAGGATAACAAAGCAAAACATTTAAATAAAGTCAAGCCATTGGGAATGAGATGGAAAAACTAGTCTAATATACACAAATTTATATCTGTGTTTAAGTAATTAATTTTAAAAACTATGCATTTCATGCATGGTCAGAATTAAGACTTATCACGGTCATATATAGGATAATGGATAGAAAATATGTTATAATTTTGTATATATAAAAAAATAACTTTATGCAAAATAAGCATAAATACACAGTTTTAACAATACTATATCATAATATTAGTAGCAATTTTAAAGATTTATTAACGCAAAATGTTTGGATATAATCAGTAAAGCTTTGAAAATACAAAACATCGAGTTTAAGGAATATAATATTTATTGAAAAAAAAATGTTCTTAAAGCAGTTAACGAGTCAATAAGTAATTTAAACTGCATATTTAAAATTTATCAAGTCTAAATATTGTATTTTTACTTTAAATATTGTATTTTTACTTTAAATATTGTATTTTTACTTTAAATATTGTATTTTTACTTTAAATATTGTATTTTTACTTTAAACATTGTATTTTTACTTTAAATATTGTATTTTTACTTTAAAGCAATCAATATAACCGTGAAATAAAGGTTTTTAATAGCTTTTGAGACTCGGCCAGAATAAGGACGCAACCAGATATTGGTCAGTTTACCCCAATTAACAAGCAGGTTGAATGGAGTTCTAAAATGGCGTTAAGAAAATTATCGAAAAAATAATGAAAAGTTTTTTTTTTTTTTATTGTTAAGTCCAGACATAAAAAACATATTTTTATAAAAAACAAATATCAAATATTGTCATTTGATAAGCTAAAAAATCTTTTTTGATGTGCTAGAACCCAAAAAAAATCAATTTAAAACGACTTGAAAAATCTTCTAGCTTCTTTTCTAAGAAACTTCGAAGAATAATCTTCACAGATCAACATTTTTATTTAATTTTCGCCGAAGAAATACATTTAGCAAACAGCTTTAAAAATAAATTGCTGAAAAATTTGCCAAAAAAAATTCGCCAATATTTATATTCTAAATTTGTCACACGAAAGAAGTCGCGTGATTGAAGTGCGTAATAAAACAAAAAAATTACAGGTAATATCATACTATAAGTGATATACAAAAAGTGATAAACAAATGAAAAAGATTAAGAAAACAACCTTTACAGAAAAAATAACAATTTACATGTTTCTTATTTTATAATAACTATTTGAATAAAATAATATATACAAATTTGACAAATAATAACTTCAGGTTTTAACAAATTAAAAAGAATTATCAATGCAACACATTCAATCCAAAAAAACATCAAGACCA